TTCAAGCTGGGTGTTGGTATAAAAGATATGTATTATACTGGGAAGATTTAGTCACTTTAGTTATAAATAATTAGAGATTTGAAGAATCTAAAATGCCATAAAATGTAGATATGTAACATAATGTTTACAGTACTGTTGGCTAAAGTAAAGTTAGTTTATCCTTTACTTAGCTAATTATTCTGACTGTGGTCTGGCTAGAACCCAAGACATAGGCTCATATTGATACAACTGAACTGAAGTGAAATAAAGCTTCATACTTTTTGAGAAAACAGTAAAAGGAAAGGTTCTTGATACTAAAGGCTGCTGTTTCTATATGTATGTGGCTTCAGGTAAATAGGTATTGGTCTCTGGAGTGACTTACACAATGAGCATGTCCAACATGACATCACAACTCGATACTGATCGAGTCTAAAGAATTTCTTTCCCAATGTGAGTAATAAAACTTGCAGTTGTGCTTCTTTCTTTTCCTCAAAATGGAAAAGAAAAAAAAAAAGGCGGCAGGATGGGGAGAGGGAGGACAGTATTAGTTATTGTCCAAATGTCCATGCTGCAGGATTTGGGGGTGGGGAGGGGAGAAGGGGAAAAGTAGGGCAGGAAGCATATTAATTATTTCATGGTATTTCTAAAATTGTCAAGCTCTTGGCTTTTGAGCGTTACCTTATACTTTAGACTGATGAATGAAAAATGTGTATTAAAGAAGTAGAGGTCTAGCAGTGTAAGGAAGACATATTGAAACCTCCCATATTGCAGTCTATGTGAGAGTGGGTAGTTCTGATGAATAAACTCCAACATAACACACTGCTGCAACATTCTGCAGGAAAAATGTTATGTAGAAGTGAATCATCACAAATTATAATGAGAAGTTGTTTTAATGCTGACATTTATAACTGACCTCACTGTTTTAAATCAAAGGGCACTGTTTCCAATGATGACTTTGAACAGCAAAATTTTCAAAACTCTATTGAAGCTGAGAATTGTTTTTGTTGTGAGAATCTATAACATTTGTGCAAAAAGCATATGACCTCTAACCACTTACTGCAGGGCTGCAGTGGCTTTTCTGAATGGAGTGAAATGTCCTTGAATTGCCTTGAATACCTGACAGATTTGACAGGTACAGAAATACAGAGCTATTTTAGCCCCACTACTCTCTAAAGAAGGTCTTCTGTTTCCTGTGAGGATTCTAGAAATTTCTAACAATTATTGTCTGATATCTTTAGTGTTTGAGACTTACAGTACTGTATATAGGTGTGTAATATATTGCGGTTTTTATTTGTATAATTCTACTTCTAAGACAAGACATGTACATTTCTTAATATTCACCAGGCTGTGGAATAGCTGCATCAGTCTATAGATGTTTGTCTTCACCTGAGAACCTGTGTTTAAATGAATGTGCCACACTTTCTCTTATTCTTCAGTTTGTTGCGTGACACTGTTCTGTGTTTTAGTAATGCAGTATTTCACCTTTTCTACAGTCAAATGTTATCTTAATTGTACATGAAAACTTACATTCCTAATGTATAAACTACAAGTTTGTCTTGTTTTAATGTTTAATAACTTGGGTGGTAAAATAAACTGGTTTTTTTTTTTTGAAGTTGTATGCTTTAGTGAATACTTTGTGCAGCAGAAGATTTTGCCACCTCTTTGCAGGTTTTGTTGAAATACACATTAGCAGAATATTTGTTTCTTTTTCATTATATACATCTGGAAGTCACAGTAAGGTTGACCACACTACTTCAAAATGGGCTGAATACCCAGAGCATAGGCTCTGCAAGTGCAGCTTTCTCAGGTGAGACACCATGCCTGAACCACTGTGAGAACCCCAGGCTGACAAGTGAAAGGTGAGTTCAAGCAGATGTGTGATAAACTGACTGATGGCAGTAGATGGTGACTGTCCTGTCAGCAGTGTAGCACTACTTGGGCAACTTGGTAGCTTTGAAGGTCTTGGTATAACAGGTTTGATACACACCTGTTATCTGCAATGCGTGTATATTATTAGATCTCTATCCAACAGACTTCACCATGTTTCTATGACCTGCTGGTGATCTGGGTGCAGTTGGCTGTCTTTACTGCAAGTGTGCATGTGGCTGGCTTACATCCCCCTTTTTTGTGAAGACTCCCAGGGCTTTTTTGCAAAGCTGCATCCCAGCTGTCTGGCCCTGTGTGATGGTGCCTGGGATGCCCAGGGGCAGCATTAGTGTTGCCCTTGAAACTTGCTGAGATCCATGTGTAGGCTCTCATCTCCTGCCTGCTGATGTCTCTGTGAATGGCAGCACCCCTCTGGGGTATTGACCTCTCCTCCTAGTTTTATGTTACCTACAAACATGCTGAGGGTGAGCTCTGTCCTATCACCCATCTTCATTAATGAGGATGTTACTGTCTTGGCGCGGGTACTGACCCCTGGTGTATACCAGTAAGGCCAGATCTCCCACTGGACTTTGTGCCACTGGTCACAGCCCTCTGAGCCTGAGACTTGAGGCAATTTTCAGAGGTGTGGGATTCCTGAGGTCTGCTCTTGCTGGTACCAACAGAAGCAACGGCAGCTGTGAGCACCTTGGCCTTTTCCGTATCTCCTGTCAGCAGGTTCTCTGCCCAATACAGCGGTGGAGCCCTATTTTTCCCTGGCCTTCCTGTTGCTGATATGTCTGCTAAAGCTTTTCTTGTTGCTCTTCACCTCTCTTGCCAGATTCCACCTCATTTGGCTTGGAACACTGTGCCTTTTCTCATCTTTTTTCTTTTTTTTAACCTCAAATATCAATCTTGAACCTGTTCTTTTGAATGAGGAAAAACTCAACTTCCCTTCATATGAATGGGTGAAAA